GACGACGACGACGACGGATCGTGACGACCATGACGACGACGGATGACGACGAAGAAGTCGACGACGACGTCGACGATGACGGCGACGACGGCCGACGACGATGACGACGGTGACGATGACGACGGACGACGACAACGAGGACGGACGTCGAGAGCGACGACGACGATCACGGACGACGACGACGGCACCGGACGACGACGACGCCGTAGGACGATGACGACGACGTCGACGGAGGACGACGACGACGACGTATGGCGACGACGTCGATGACGACGACGATTGCGACGACGACGACGCAGGTCGAGAAGGCGACGACGTCGCTGGCGACAACAGACGACGACGACGACGACGACGGAATACGACGACGACGAGGACGGCGAAGACGACGACGGATGAACGACGCCGACGCTGGAGGACGACGACGACGTCGACGACGCCAGACGACGGCGACGATCACAGACGACGATCTTGACGGAGTACGACGGCGACGACGACCACGCCGACGACGACGGACTACGTCGGCGGACGACGATGACGACGTCGATAGCGACGACGTTGGTGGACGACGACAACGGCAACGACGACGACGATGGACGATGTCGACGACGACGACGACACTGACGACTACGACGGTGACCGAGGACGACGACCACCGAGACAACGACGACGCTCACGATATCGGACGACGACGGCTACGACGACGACGGATGATGACGACGATAACGACGACCACGACGACGGAACACGACGAGGACGACGACGACGACGACGGGGACGTTATCGCCGACGGTACCAGATAACGACGACGACGCCCTCGACGACGATGTTGTCGACAACAACGGACGACGAAGCGACGACGCCGACGACGACGACGGACTACGACGACGTCGACGTCCCCCACGACGACCACTATGACGGCGGAGGACGACGACGGCGTCGACTGCGGACGACGACGACGTCGACGGATGAGGACAGGCGACGACGAGTGATGACGACGACGACGGACGTCGACGAGGACGAATGGTGACAACGACGAAGATGTTGACGACGACGATGGCGGACGAAGGCGACGACGACGACGACGACGACCACGGACAAATTTGACGACGACGACGACGGACGACGATGACGACGACGACGACGATGTCGGACGACGACGACAACGACGGACGACGACGACGATGACGACGACGACGACGACGGGGACGTTATCGCCGACGGTACCAGATATCGACGACGACAGAGGGCGACGATGATGTTGTCGACAACAACGGACGACGAAGCGACGACGCCGACGACGACGACGGACTACGACGACGTCGACGTCCCCCACGACGACCACTATGACGGCGGAGGACGACGACGGCGTCGACTGCGGACGACGACGACGTCGACGGATGAGGACAGGCGACGACGAGTGATGACGACGACGACGGACGTCGACGAGGACGAATGGCGACAACGACGAAGATGTTGACGACGACGATGGCGGACGACGAAGACGACGACGACGACGACGACCACGGACAAATTTGACGACGACGACGGACGACGATGACGACGACGACGACGACGATGTCGGACGGCGACGACAACGACGGACGACGACGACGTCGTCGACGACAACGACGGACCTAAACGACGATGGCGACGACGACGACGGATGACGATGAGGGAGCCGATGTCGGAGGACGTCGGACGACGACGACGCACGACGACGTCGACCACGGATGACGACGTCGGCGACGATGGACGACGACGACGATGTTGACGATAGAGGACAGCACACGACGACGACAACGACGGAGAATGGCGATGTCGTCGGAGAACGACGACGACGATGACGAAGGACGGCGACGACGCGGACGATGACGACCACGATGACAACGACGTAGAGCGACGACGACGACGACGTCGATGACGACAGACAATGGATATGACGACGGACACGACGAGGCCGTCGACGACGACGTACGACGAAGACCACGCCGTCGGCGACGACTTGACGACAACGACAGATGACAACGATGACGACGACGACGGACGACGTCGACGGAGGACGACGATGCCGACGACGACGGAGGACGAAGTACGACGACGACGACGACGACGTCGACGACGGACGACGACGACGACGGAGATGTCGACGATGATGGCGACGACGACGCCGACGACGACGACGGACGACAACGGCGTCGACAACGACGGTGAAGACCAGCGACCACGTTGACAACGACGACGACGACAATGCCGTCGGATGACGATTACGACGACGACGACGATGACGGACGACGACGACCACGACGACGACGACCCAGCATGACACCCAATTACGACGACGACAATGACGGCAACGACGGACGCCGACGACGACGACGCCAGCGTCGACGGCCGACGACGACGGCGCTGTCGACGACGACGACAGAAGACGACGAGGGCGACGACGGATGACGATGACGACGGACGATGATGAGGACAACGACGACGAGGGAGGAAGAGGAGGACGGAGGACGACGGAGGACGACGACGACGACGGACGACGATGACGACGACGACGGAGGACGACGACGACGACGTCGACGACCACGACTGACGACGACGACCACGTTGACGACGTCGACGGCGTCGATGGCGGAGGACCACGACGCGGACGAAGACGGATGACGACGACGACGACGTCGACGACGACCCACGACGACGTCGAAGTCGACGACTGAACACGACGACGAAGGCAACAATGGAGGACGACGCACGACAACCACGACGACGACGACGGCGACGGTCGACGACGACGACGACGATGACAATCGACAAGGACGACCACGGCCGACGACGACGGCGATGGAAGGGGCACGCCGACGACGACGTTGACCATGACGTCGTTGGAGGGCGACGGCGACGACGATGGAAGACGACGACGACGCCGACGACGACGACGGCGGAGGACGGACGACGACGACACTGAGGACGACGACGACGGAGAACGACGACGACCACGGGCGAATTCGACGACGACGACGATGCCGGTCGACGACGATGACAACGTCGGAGGAAGAGGAGCACGAAGGACGACGACGGCGGAGGACGACGACGACGATGTCGGACGACGACGACGGACGACGACGACGAGGACGACGACGATGACGGACGACGACGACAACGACGACGACGACCCAGCACGACAATTAATTACGACGACGACGGCGACGGCAACGACGGACGACGACGACGACAACGTCAGCGACGTCTGCCGACGACGACGACGCTGTCGACGACGACGACGGAAGACGACGACGAGGACGACGACGGATGACGACGACGACGAGGGAGGAAGAGGAGCACGGAGGACGACGACGACAGAGGTCGACGACGACGATGACAGACGACAGCGACGACGATGACGACGACGACGATGGAGGACGACGACGACGACGACTTCGATGACCACGACTAACGACGACGACCACGTTGACGATGTTGACGACGTCAACGATGGAGGATGACGAAGCCGCCGACGACGACGACAACGACGACCCACGACGACGTCGAAATCGACGGCTGAGGACGACGACGACGATCACAACAACGGAGGACGACGCACGACGACGATGACGCCGACGACGGCGATTGTCGACTACGACGGCGACGACAATGACGATCGATGAGGACGACGACGGCCGACGACGACGACGATGAAAGGGGGACGACGACGACGACGACAACGACGACGACGCCGACGACGACGACGTCGACCATGACGACGACGGAGGACGACGACGACGGTGGAAGACGACAACGGCGCCGACGACGACGACGGCGGAGGACGGACGACGACGGCATCAAGGACGACGACGACGTTAACGACGACGACCACGGACGAATTTGACGACGACAACGACGGCGGTCGACGACGACGACGAGGACGCCGACGGAGGAAGAGGAGGACGAAGGTCGACGACGACGGAGGACGACTGCGACGATGTCGGACGACGACGACGACGATGACGACAACGACGACGACGACGGACGACGACGACGACGACGAGGGCGACGACGACGAACGCGGACCACGGCGGCGACGACGGAGCGGAGGGGTGCTCAGTGCCGATCCAAGAAATCCCTTTTCATTAGCTCCAAACGTTTATCTTTACGCTGATGCTCCTTCGGGTGTGGCCTGCCTCCTGCATCCGCAGGCGCCCTCGCACTGGTGGACAGGACTTGCGTCGGCACTCGTGCCTGGCGCCAGCACTGGCATTGGTGTTGACACGTCGTGGGCATCGCGAGTCAGAGCACAGCGCGTCACACATTGCTCCGCGGCGACTTGGGGAGGAGGAGGAGGAGGAGGAGGAGGAGGAGGAGGAGGAGGAGGAGGAGGAGGAGGAGGAGGAGTCCAAGACGCGGTCGGGGCAGCCGAGGGGCGCCTCGGGGCCTCAATTGGGCACAACAGGGGAGGGGCAGGCGCGGAGGGGGCGATCACAGCGCGTCACGGGCAGGCACGACGTGTGCTCCTTAGCGGGTTCGTGGGTCCCTCTGTTTGTGCTCGTTTTGAGTTTGTCTCAAGTTCCTGTTGCTGTTGTATCGCTCCACTGCCCCTGAGATATCACCGCCTCCCTTCATCATGCTGTACACTATACCTGACTGCCGCCGCCTCTGTCTCGTCACGTCGCGTCTATGCCAAGCTGGGCCTTGCCCGCTTCCGCCAGCGCCCCGGCCGAACGCGCCATGTGAACACTAGCTCTGGCGCGATGGTCGGCAGGTCCGCGACCCGGCTTCAGATTCTGCAGGCTCTGGTTACCAAGCACATCTCGGACCCTGCGTACAACGACATCAGCAGCGACGACGACTTCGCGGTCACGTCCACGGAGCGTGGGGTCTCGCGCTACGAGCACCCTAACCTCGTCGCTGCGCTGGACTGCCTCCTCATTTACCAGAAGGATCGCCGAGCGTCTGCGGGGCTGGTCGGCATGAGGTACACTTATACCAGGGACCCGAGGACGCGCATGATCGAGCTGCTGAAGCGTTGGCTGCGAGCGCACGCAGTGAACCGCAACCTCGAGGAGGACGACGTGGCAAGGATCAGCAACCTGCTCCGAGACCTCCTGAACCACTCGGACTTGTTCCCCTCGCACAACGCCAGGAGCTTCATGCGCACCGTGGCGGACGTGTACGACCACCTGCAGCGGCAGCTCCGCGACGTCCTGGAGCACGACCGCACCTGCGCCGAGCTGGCGACCCGCGTGCTGTCGCTTTCCAGGACGCGAAGCCTTCGGGCTGCGCGCAGCCAGCCCCCACAAAGTACTCCTGGCTGGCCTCAACGGGCCCCCCGAGCAGTCCGGAGCGGTCTCAACACCGCAACCCCGGGGCGTGGGGCGCCGCGTCCAGGGTGTGGAGACCGCCCCGGGCTGCTCGGGGGGCCTGCTGAGGCCAGCGGGGGCTACCCGGGGGACCGTCTGCGCGCAACCCGAAGCCGCACTGGCCCAGGAACCTCGTCTCCGACGCCGTCGCCTTCCTCATCCTGGGCCCGACGGACCTCACCCAGACGGACACCAGGAGGGAGGAATGGGCACAGCTCAGTGAAGATATGGGTCAAGATGGGAGGAGGACAACACAGAGAAGATGTGGGAAATCTCGGCATTCGTGCCGATTTGTATCTCCCTGGGCCCCTTGAGGACAAGCTGCCGTCGCTGGAGGTGGTCTCGCTCTGGGCTTCGATCACCCCAGAGGGTACTCCCCTGCCAGCAGCGGACGAGGCCCAGCAGAACGCTATGCGGGAGGCCCGGGGAGCCCACCGACGTTGCTTGAGAGCCTCGCGTCGCAATGTTTTCCACGACGGGCGATTTTTTGCCTCTTGTCGGGCCTCGGGGCCCTCACGGATCGATCCAGCTCGCAGAATGCCGCGCAACGATTGGGTCCGGGTGCGTTTCGCGTTCTCTCTTCACTTGCCTCGGAGCCCTCTGCCCCAGGGTCGAGGTCATCGATCACGCTTGCGCTGCCACGGATGCTGTCGCGCAGTGGAAAAAGAGATTGGGCCCAGGGCTCTGGTCGAGTGTTGTGCCACGATGCTGTGTTTTTTTGGCGACGCCGGACCTGAGGATGTCTCATCCCGCCCTCCCCATCCCCCTTCACGAGGGCCCGTTTCGAGCCGATCGGTCCGGATCGATCTCGTCATGTCTCGGCCGGCTCGGTCCAGTCCACTTCCAGATGTTCCGAGGCGGTCCGATGCAGCCCCCGCTGGCGGGCGGCGAGGAAGTCTGTGCATGACCGCCGCTCCCCGGCCGGACCCCTCCCGAGCCCACAGGAGCTGTGCCATTCAGTCAAGCAGTGGCGAAGCGTCCCGGCTCGCCTATAGCCCCACCAAACAATGTTCTAAGAACCTTTTGTGGTTCCCGCGAAATGTTCTTAGAAGATTTCTGGCGGAGTCTGTCTTGTTTTAACACATCGGGCTTATGTTCTAAGAACACTGTTCTTGTGCTTAGAACATTTTAGGGTTCTAAGAAAATTTCGTGGTATGACTATAGGAATGCCGGGACGGTCTTTCCCTGCTCAATTCAGAGGGGCAAAAGGTACCCATACCTCTACCCTTCCCTCGTTTTCCCCTTTGTGGGCCTCCTGGGAGGCTCTCATCGCCACCGCTGGATTCGCCTGGAAACTTTGGTCAGAACGCACCCTGGGAGCGGTCCAGGGAGTAGCGATATCGGTACCTTTGGGTCTCCCCATGCATACGCCTCCCTGGCCAAGCCAGGAGGGCGTGTCGTACACATCGCTGCTGGGTTCAGGATGGGCTTGCAGGGAGCAGCAGCTGTGTATACACATTGTTCATTTCTAATTCTTCGAAAGTTCTTCGATTGCTTTGGGGGGCCAAGGTCCTTTCATTTCTAAGTGTTCTATCCTGGGCCTCTTCCTGGCCACTAGGGGGCCAGGAACAATTAGAAACGAGCACAATTAGACATGAGCACGATTAGAAATGAACGACGTGTAGATTTCATTATCCTACGATGCCTGCATGGCGCTGCTGTGCATCAGTCTGCGGCCTGCGTACCCTGTCCCAGCGGGTCCCAGCGACGCTGGGGTCTGGGGCACCCCCGCTGGGGTTGGCTTGGCCGCGCACGTCCTTCGAGCTCTGAACCCCAGCGAGCTTCTCATAAATCTGGCCTGCGTGGGTAGGGCTTGCATGTGGCAGCCTAATCTCGGCGGCGAGCCTGGGGGGGAAGTGAGAAGGAGGAGGCCTTCTCAGAAGGCGGCGGGACTTCTCAGAAGCCCTCGCGCCTTCTGAGAAGTTTTCTGCGTCTTCGGGGAAGGCTTAGACACTTCTCAAAAAGTCGGGGGGGGGACTTTCGAGCCCTCTGAGAGGGCCTGCTCCTTCTCGCTTCCCCCCTCGCTCGCCGCCGATACAATCCTGGCGCGGCAGATCTGATCTGATTTCGACCCCGTGCTGGCGCAGCCCGATCCAGCGCACGTTCCTATTTGATTCCATGCCCCCACTCGATGCCGACGGATCCTGCCCTGCCCCCCCTCGGGCCCTCCGCGTCCCAGCCATCCGAGGCTCCCGCCCTCGACAGTCGCCGGGGCGGCTGGCTTGGGGCAGCTTCTGGGTGGCCAGCGCACTCTGGGTGTCTCGTCCTGGAGGCGGGAGCCGCTTCCAGGGCTATAGCTGCGCCGAAAATCAACTCTGCACGAACGGAATGGGTACGGAAAGAAGGGGTACAATGCCCAGCAGCAGTTCCTGCTCCTTTGGCACAGGACTCGCTGTCCGCGCCGCCGCGGCCTGTGTCCACTTGAGACAGAAGGCCGCCTGCCCAACAGCGCCCGCTGTTGGTTTGGGACAGCATTTGTTGTCGGGCTTTGTACCATGTTTTCCGTACCCATTTCGGGCGTCCAAGTCAACAAATCGCCCATCTCCTCGAGGCAGGGCAGGCGTCCTGTCATGACCCTCAAGAGGCGTGGGGCACCTACTGCGGGGCTCTGATGAAGGACGTCCTCAGCACGCCCTGGACCATCCGCGTGTTCCACGGTACTACTGAGGACGATCTGGTAGCCAAGATGAGAGCCGGCATGATCAAGGACGGAGCGAAGCCCGCCGACGGCAAGCCGACGCGCCACCCAGCGGATTCAATGCGGGAGCACATGTCGGGCGTTCCGAAATGGTGGGGTGGCCTGGAGGAGGCGTGGCTGGTCGCACCGCGGTCTCAGCCAGTCCCAAGTGGTCCCAGCGGCGATTCAGCGCCACCTTGGCAAAGGCTGCCTCCAGCTTTGTGATGTTCCAATTTGTTTTAGCCTTGGTCACCAGAAAGAATTTCGAGCACCAGCAAAACTACCGAAACTCGAGTGTTTTCACGTGCCGGGCCCTTGGAGACACTCGCCCGACACTGTTTCGACACTTTTGCGACACTCTTTCGACACTTTTCCAGGTGCTCGAAATTATTTCTGGGATGTGGTATTTATACGACGGGAGCAGCAGAACTCCAGCTGCGGATCCAATCTGGATTGTGTCTGGTTCCAGTTGCCCCAGCCTCCCCTCGGCCATCCCCCCCGTCTCTGAACTCCTGAAGATCGCGTGGGTCGCGGCCGAGTTCGACAAGGGGAACTTCAACCACAGTGGCCTGGCTGGCCCTTTCAGGCAGCGTGGGCACCAGCCGGAGCTGGCGCGGCTGAACTACCTCTACGCGGTGCAGGGCCTCTTCGACCTTCTGTACCTGCTGAGCGAGGTTCTGACCCAGTTCCATCGCATCAGCGATGGCCTCGGAGACTATGGGCTGATCCGCATCGCGCCCTGGCTGCACCCCTGCCTCGACTCGATGGTGGAGAAGGTCCAGGCGCTCAAGGGCTGCCTCGAGGTGCTGAACGAGGCGGTGGACACCGAGCTCGTCCTCGCCAAGGCGCGGGGCGTGCGGGTGAAGAAGCCGCGCCCGAGCGAGCTCATGAGCGCCCGCGCCCACTCCGCGATACAGCGGGCCATCGCGAGCCGGGAGAGCCACGTGCAGGTGCTGCTGGTGGCCCTAAAGGAACTCCGCGAGCGGTCGTCGCCCGAGCGCATGCCCCACGTCCAGGAGCTGCGGGGTCAACGGCCGCCGCCCACCGGCATCGACGCTGGCCAGGGTCCCATATCCCGAATAATAATAACAATAAGAAGAAAAAGAAGAAAAAGAATAATAAGAAGAATAATAAGAAGAGGCACGCTTGCACAAACATAATTTCTTGGAGGTCTGCGGGCACAGCGCCGATCCAAGGACTCCGCGCGGAGCTCCGAGAGATTATGTTTATGCCGTTTTTGGTCCTTTTACGCTTGGCATCGTTCGGACGCGTGCATTGTCTCGGCGAGGACCATCGAGGAGCATCTTTGGTCATCGAGCTAAACACACGCACGGAATCTAAACATGCAAGTGGAATGGACGTCCGAGCGATGGCAAGCACTGGCCCCAGGCCACCCGTGCGGGCGCGGAGGTAGTCGCGCCTCGCTCGTCGCGGTCTGGGCCAGAGCGGTTGCCCTTCTCCACGGGGGGCGGCCCAGGGGCGCGATGGCGCGGCTGTAGCCGCACGTCACGCAGCGCGAGGCGCGGAATCGGGGAGATCCAGGGCTGCGCCGTCCTGGCTCCGCCAGGCAGACGTGGGCAGGAAACCCGTATCCACGGCACGGTTGGCTGGGCCACCAGGCCAGGCCACTGGGCCGCGACCCCGCGGACACGGGGCGTTTCTTCGCGGATGCCCGGATGCCCCGCACAGAAAGTGTCCATGCGACCGCGTATCCGCGGGATCGCGCCCCATGGTCCAGACCGCGAGGGCGTGGATCTGGACGTGTGCGCCTCTCGTGAGATCTTGGGCCCAGGATCTGCCTGGGCCAAATCGGTGTCGGCGTGCAGTTGCTGCTTGCGGAGGGGAAACGAGCACAGACACAAATAATCGCCGATTCTCCCGAAGGTCTATGAATATCCGGGAAGTGGAGAGACGCACGTCAAGAAGAGATGGGAACATATGGGGAATCCTGGGATTCGTGCCTGTTTACTCTGTGTGTCCCTGGGCCCCTTGTCTCCTGTCGTCCCTGCAGGAGGGCCTGGGCTCGGCCTGCCTGCAGCTGCAGGGCGTGCTGGAGTCGGCGCAGTTCCGGCAGTGCGTGGGCGACGTCGTGGAGACCAGGGACGTCCAAGAGGGCGGCGATCGGACGGGTCGGGGGTGGGCAGGACCCCCACCCTGACACGTCGATTGGTGAATTGTCCATTTTCGGTTCTCGCAGGGGCGCCGCGGCCGTCACTTTTCAGGCCTGCGCTCGCCAGGTTTGGGCGCGAGGTCGTTTTCACGAAACCTGTTTTACTACAGGGGGTTCTGTCCATCCCCGAACGGGGCTAGGACGAGGACAAATCCGTTCCAGAGCGCTCTGGAACGCTCTCAGAGCGTTCTGGGACGCTCTGGGTCGGGAGTTGCTAGACGTGCCCCTGGCCCACGGTGTGCCCATGATTCCCAAGGGGGCCTCCACATGGGAGGATGTGTGTGTGTGTGTGGATGCCACGGCCAGGGCCCTGAGATCTCCCAGCTTTCATGGCCCCCCTCCTGCTTTCAATACGCTCCCTGTGCCCCCCCCGCCCGTGCGCGCACCCAGAGATCCGACGTATTGATTTTTGTGATGGTCCTGGCAGCCGGCGAGGGCCCCCAGAGGCCAGAAGCGAGAAGCAAACCTCGTACTGCCTTTTTCAGTGAGGTGGAGGTCTGGGCACACGCCTCGTGCCAGGAGGCGCTGGCCCCCCTCTGCTAGGGCTCCCCTCCTTCGGCGCACTCGAGGAGAAGTTCCCTCCGCTGCGGGACATGGGCGCGCCGATGCAGGAGGCGTTCCCGGCCCTGCTGGCAGCCGGTGGCCTCGGGTCCGGCTCGTTCAGCTCGGACGAGGACGACGAGGAGGACGGAAGCTCTTGCGAAAGCATGGGGCTCGGAGATCGGTAGCAAATCACTGGAGCCTTGTATGCCCTCGCAATTCCGTCTTCAGAGCGCACTAACGTCGACCAGCGTCTGGCAACCGATGAGAGCGCCGATTTCGTGATGATTAGTGTCGATCTGGCGTCGATCAGCGCCGATTCGCAAGAGCCAACAAGATGGTATGGGAGCCTCCCTTGAATTGCCGCAGACGAGGAAAAGGCACTGGTACCGCTACACTTCCTTCGTTGTCGCCTCTTCGGGCCTCCTGGGAGGCCCTCGTCTCCACGGCTGGATTCTTCTCGAAGTTCTTGTCGGAACGCACCCTGGGTGTCGCAGTGTTGGTACTTTTGCTCTCCCCTTGTGTTGTTGGTTCCCTGGCGGTTTCTCGCCCCCAGTCCCCGAGTCCCCCCTCCCCAAGAAGGCAGGCCGCTCAAAAAAGGGTGGGGGAGCTCGGGGATCCACTCCTGGGGGGCTATTCGGACGCATCCCTCGTCGAGGATGGGCGGCCCCCCGTCGTTTGTGTCACCAGCTGGGCCCCAAGTTTCACTTTTGCCAAATCGGGAGTCCGCAAGAAGTCGGGGGTTGGGGTCGCCCATACCCCCTGTCACGGTGGGGGCGTCCGTGAAGGAGTGTACCCAGGAGGCTTCAGACCCTGGAGGTCTCCTTACCTGATGAGGGCGGCGGTGATCTCCACGGCCAAGCCTCAATTGGAGTTCCACTGGCTGCCAGACCTTGGATTCCTTTGGTTCCTCATCCAATGCCGTCACCGTGCTGCGGTCAACCCGCACAGCAAGAATGGGCAGCCTTCCCAGGGCTGCCCCTGCATCCTTGCCCCTTCGGCCCAGCCTTCGCGGCCTTCGCTGGCCGGCCTCGCTCGAAGCACGCCGGCACGGCTCTCCAAGGCCCTTGCGTCCTCACCGCGCATCCTCACTATAGTTCTTGGACGGACGCGGGGCCGTGGGGCGCGTGGGGCCGCCCTCCCCGCTCGTCCTTGCGGCCCTCCCCCTCCTCCCCCTCCTCTCCTCCTCCCCCTCCTCCTCCTCCTCCTCCTCCTCCTCCTCCTCTCCTCCTCCTCCTCCTCCTCCTCCTCCTCCTCCTCCTCCGCGTATACGGGTTGATTGCAGTTGGGCGGCCACTTGGGCAGACGCCGCCTCGGACGGTCGGGGCGGGAGATCTCCCGCCCCGAGGAGCTCCTCGGCCGCGGCTCTGGGCCACGCCGCGCGCCGCCCCTTTGTACGTTTTTTTTTTGCGGCGAGAGGGCCACCCTGATCTCGGAAGGGGGGGGCCGGTGCTCCTCGCGCTCACGATGAGGACCACTCCTGGCTCGGAGGGAAGGGAAACTTCGAGGCAGCTCTCGGAAGGTCCTTGCCGCGGCGCTTCCTCCTCGCGGGGGGAGCCTTCCCCTCCCTGCCTCCCTGCCTCCGTGCCGATCCTTCAGCCCGTCCGCTGCCACGAGGCGCTCTGGTTTCTGGGCTGGGCAGCAGAGGTCTACGCCGGTGAGCCCTGTGCGTGGCCGAGGCTCGCCGTGGCCCGAAACCCCCCTCTGTTCTCTGTGCAGCGGTGCGTGTGGTGCCGCGATGTCCGTGAGTCCACTGGTGTTCCCCCAGTGCTCCTCGTCTTGGTATCGCTCGGACGTGTGCCTTTTTTTCTCGGCGAGGGCCATCGAGGAGCAGCCTGGATCATCGAGCGAAAGAGAAACATACGATACCGAACCATGCACGGGGTATGGACGTCTGGGCGACGGCAAGTCGTGCACCCAGGGCTCCCTGTGTCAAAATGGTGGGCTCGATGCGGACTCGGCGCGGATGGGCCGTGGACTCGACACGGACTCGACACGGACTCGACACGGATCCGACGAGCCCGACATGGATCCGACACGGACTCGACGCGGGCACCGCGACAGGAAAGACAAAAGGCCCCCGAGGCATCCTAAGGTGGGCTGTACATCGGGCCGAACGACGAAGGGGGGGGATGGAGAAATGGGGGGGTACGAAATCTGCTGCATGCAGCTGGTTTCGGCCCCTGGCGCCTCCCGGCGCCGGGAGGCGCTGGGAAAATCAGCTGCGTGAGCTGATTCTCTACCCTACCCTTTGCTATCCCCCCCCCTGTCGTCCCCCCCCGAGTACAGCTCTCGGAAAAGGGGCCTGCCGCTGCTGGAGGCCCCCCCCCGCCTCCCGAGCCTCTCCGAGGGAGCCTCCCTGGGGGCAGCCCCGCCGTGTCCCCGGGCCCCTTCATCTTGGAGCCCCAGGTCCCAATCTGCTTGAAGCGCCCTCCGATTTCAATGATCCAGTGGCTTCACCCTCTCCGCGCTCCCCAGGGGGCGGGTGGACACCCAATCTGCTTTCAGCGCCTGCCCACTTCATGCTTCTACCTGCCTCTTCCGACCGCTGGGCGCCCGTCGTTCGTTGAAAGGGGGGTCTCTTGGGCTTCCCAGGCGCCCATCTACCTGATTCTAGCCGTTTGCCTACTTCAATCTGGGCCTCCCGGATGGGGTCGGAGTAGATGAGGTCGGAGCATCTCGCCGCATCACCGACGCATCGGCGACGCGGCTCGATGCCTATACCCCTCGGTCGTTGAAAGTAAGGTCTTTTTGGCCTCCTGATCTCAGCGGCCCTTCTGCCCCTTCTGTGCGTGAGGCTTGCCTCGGAGGCCCCCGCGGAGGTGCCCCGAGGTCCTCGGGGAGGTCGGGATCCTTCCGATGGGGTCTCCGCGGTTATGAGGAGCGCCCGACGCAGGTGGAGCGTCCGCAAGCTCCTCCCCCTCTGACCCTCGACGGTCGCGCGCGCAAGACTTGGCAGCGAGTACAGTCACAACGCCGACAGAAGGACCACTTCGGACTCGGAGGGGGCTCGCTTTTCTCTGGGCCGTCTAGATGGTGTCCGAGTAAATGGGGTCGGAGGATCGCGCTGCATCGCCGATGCATCGGCGATGTGGCTCGATGTTGAGCCTGCATTTCTCCACGCCGGCGTCGCCGACGCATCGCCGATGTCGCCGATGCGGCGCGATCCTCCGACCCCATTTACTCGAACCCCATCTAGGCGGCGTCTATTTTGCCCATGCCCGTCGGTCGTTGAAAGTAGGTCTTCTTGGATTCCCAGATGCCAATCTACTGCAGCCGCTTTCATACTTCAAGGGTCTACTGGTTTTCCCTCTTCCCTCCTCTTCAGTGGGCGGGCGGAAGCCCAATCTACTTGAAACGCCTTCCTACTTCATGTTTTTGCTTCCGACCGCCGTGTACCCCCGACGTTGCGCTTTTTGTCACAGCGGGGGCCCTCAGAAGTCACGGCCTCCTCTGCCCCAACGTCGGCTTTCCATCCTGGACCGTTGTTGTTACGGTCCCAGGGCCTGGTGAGGGCCCTCCGAAGCCGAAACCTGCCAAAAACCTTCCCACGCTATTCTCCCACCGCACGAGGGGGGATCTGGGTTGGGAGGGTGGGGCCTACGATGGCGGCGACCGCGACGGCAATGACGACGATGGCGACGACGGCGGCGGCGGCGGCGGTGACGGCGGCGGCGGCGGCGGCCGCGGCGGCCGCGGCGACGGCAATGACGGCGGCGACGACGGCGGCGGCGGCGGACGCGGCGGCGGCGACCGCGACGGTGATGCCGACGACGACGGCGGCGGCGGCGATCGCGGCGGAGGCGGCGGAGGCGGCGACGGCGGCGGCGGCGGCGGACGCGGCGGCGGGGACCGCGACGGCGACGGAGACGACGGCGGTGGCGGTCAGGACGCGGACCTCGGGGGCGGGGCCGAGCAGGCCGACGCCCAGGCGCCGCCGCGGGGCGTCGCGCGGGCGAGGACGCTGCCCGCGCCACCGCCCGCCCTCGCGGCCCCAGCCGGGGCGCGCAGGGAGCGCTCCCAGGACGGCCCCGGGCGGGCGGCGGGCCCTTCCTCGGAAACTGGGGCATCTACGTTACCAGTGGCGTTTTTTTTTTTTTTTTTTTTTTTTGTTTTTGATTTTTTTTTTCTCTCAATCCCACGGCTTTCTGAGAGTCGGGGACGACGTCGGGGTGGTGTGGTGTATACTTTTCTCCCCTTTTCCAAGGGAAGCAACGAACTATGTATACACCAGGATCCCCTCTACACCAGGGTCCGCGTTCCGGTGCGACTTTCAACGCAGGGTCGGAAGAAGCGCCGGTGCATAGAGCTCGTCTGCCTACTTCCTCTGGGAGCACCGATGTGGTTCGGCCAGCAGAGGCCCAGAGGTCCGAGGCTTCGACAGCAATTGGAGCGGCCGTTTATGCTCGTCTGTGGCCATTTCTGGCCTCCGGGGGCCACGTGTGTGGGCCCCGCGGGACTGCCAGAAGCTGCTCAGGACGGAAAGCGGTCCGCAGGGAAGCTGTCCAGACCTCCGGGAGGTTCAGGAATCGGGAGCATTGAAGCGGCGGATGCTTGAGGGGATTGGAGGGTTAGACGCGGATGCGAAGGTGGGTAGTATCTGGCTTAATCCAGGCAATACATGGGCTATGAATGCCCTGGGTAGTTTAGGGTGGTTCGGTAACTCCGCGAAGAGGGCTCCGCCCACTCAGAGACCAGATCTACACCCCCCAAAAAACTATTTAGGTCACTTGCAGCCCGCTCATAAGGTAGGGCAGGTTAGATGTAACCCGCCTTAGTATCCACTCCTAACCTCCCTATCCCCTCAGTACCCCCCCGCGGTCATCCGAGCTGCCTCGGGGTGAGGTCTTCGGACGATTTCGGTCGAGGTTGTTGGCCGATTCCGTGGGCTCCTGGCGGCTTTCCAGCCTCGGGATGCCTTCCAGCAGCTGCGCCTCACCGACAGCGTTCCCGACGGGTGCCCGGATCGTTTCGAAAACGGCCGCCGGAGGCCGGGGCTGTGGCCCGCAGGGCTTCGCCGTATAGACACCTTTTGTGCGGGGAGCTTGGGGCGCGGGGCGCCAAGTCCAGGAATCGGCGGCGAGCGAGAGGGGGAAGTGAGAAGGAGAAGGCCTTCCCAGAAGGCTCCGAAGTCTCACGGCCTTCCGAGAAGTTCTCTGAGCCTTCCCCGCAGACGCGGGAAACTTCTCATATGGCCGGGCGGCTTCTCGGAAGCCCCGCCGCCCTTTGAGAAGGCCTTCTCCTTCTCACTTCCCCCCCCTTCGCTCGCCGCCGAAGGAAGGCCTTCGAGAAGGCCTTTGAGAGGGCCTTCTCACTTCCCCCCCCTTCAGACGCCGCCGAAGGAAGGCCTTCGAGAAGGCCTTCGAGAGGGCCTTCTCACTTCCCCCCCCCCCTGGCGCTCGCCGCCGAAGGAAGGCCTTCGAGAAGGCCTTTGAGAGGGCCTTCTCACTTCCCCCCCCCTGCGCTCGCCGCCGGCGGAAGGCATGCTGCCACCGTCGGATATGCCGTGCGCCGGAGCGGCAGGCCGCGCGCCAGAGGGCACGCACCGCCTGGGGCCGACGCTGCGCGCAGGGTCGGCCGGGCCCCTCTCCGGGGGCCTGGTCTTCGGAAGGTTTTTTTTTTTTTTTTTTTTTTTTTTTTTTTGTTGTTTTTTTCGCGTCGGCCCGAGATCGAGGGGGGGGGGGCCGTCCCCCTCGGCCTCGGGCCGTCGTCGGGCCTATGGGGGCCCCCAAGAGCGGGCCCGGGGCCCGGGGGAAAGGGGCGCCCCGGGAGCTCTGGGGTCCGCGGCCTCGCCCCAACAAGAGGGGGCCAGTCTCCCAGCACTGGCGCGCCCGAGGTTGGCTCGCCAGGTTTGCAGAGCAGGCAAGCAGCAAGCAGTAGTTAGGCAGCAGTGCATGGTAAGGGTACGCATCAACGCAGCGCGCACCTGAACCGTAAGCATGGCGGCCCGTGAGCCTCCTCGAGCGGCGTGCGCCGCATCCATCGTACTCTGTCGCTTGGATCCGAAGAGCAACAACGTATGACGTTCTTGGTCGTTGACTTTTGTAGCGCACGGCGAGAGGCCAAGCTTCGAAAGAGTAAGCTGAAAGCTTGAGACTTGCGCTTCCTCTCAGCTGTTCGAGCTTGAGCTTAGGACTCCGCGTGAGAGCCGAGCGCGGCTTTGGGGGGGTTCAAGGGTGGGGGTCGAAGCGCACGTGTCGGCGACCACCACACGAAACCATGCTTGTTAGTCGTGCATTCTTGTGGTGCATTTCGGCGTGCTGTATTGCAGCCTCTTCGCGCCGGAGCTTGAGCCTCGGATCCCGCGCGCGAGCCAAGCGTGGTTTTGTGAGGTCCAGGGAGGGCTGGAGCGCATTTGCCGGCGACCACCATAAACAAACCGTTGTTTCGCACTGCAGTTTTATTATTAGGCTTACGCCACACCGCCGACCCCTTTGTTTTTCGACCGTCTTGGGGGCCTCTTGGGCGGCCCCAGAAGATGTCGTGGACCTCCAAAGGGAGCCCGGGAAGGGCCGGACCCCCCTGATGAGCTCGGGCCGGACGGCCCCCCCTCCTCCAAATCAACCGGACGGGGCTCTGGGGGGAGTGGTTTGGGGAGGGGGAAGCATCTCACACGCCGATGATCCCCAAGGGGTCGGCGGATTTCATTGCCTCGCAGTTGTTTTTTTCTACATTCAAGCTTCTGTTTGCGCTGTAGTGGCGCTGCTCGAGCTTGAGCTTCGGATTCCGCATGAGAGCCAAGCGCGGTTCGGGAAGGTTCTGGGCGGAGGGGGGGTGATGCGCTCATGTCGGCGACCACCACAAGAAAATTTGTTGTTGCTTTGCAGTTTGTTTTGCATTGCAGTGCTTTTTCGCATTGCAGTTTTTTTGCGCTGTACTGGCGCTGCTCGGGTTTGAGCTTAGGGTTCCGCGTGACAGCCAAGCGTGGTTTGGGGAGGTTCAGCGGAGGATACAGCGCACACGTTTGCAGGTTGTTTTGCATTGCAGGCGTTTTTTTGCAATGCTGCTCGAGCTTAGGATTCCGCGTGGGAGCTACGCGTGTATTTGTGAGGTTCAGGGGGGGTTAAGCGCACATGTCGGCGACGACCACGCGAACACATGTTGTTTCGCATTGCAGTTGTATTGCATTGCAGTTGTTATGTTGCGCTGCAGTGGCGCTGTTAAAGGGAGTTTAGGCATCGGCGTGCGAGCCACGCGTGGTTTGGGGATGTTCAGGGAGGGTTGAAGCGAAACCGTTTTTGTTTTTTTCCAGTGCAGTTGTTGTTCGACATTGCAGTTGTTCAGTGCAATGTTTTTTGCGTTGCAGTTTCTGTTTTGCGTTGCCTTTTTGCTGTGCTGTAGTGGCGCTGCCAGAGCTTGAGCTTTGGATTCCGCGTGAGAGCCAAGCGTGGTTTGGGGCGGGTCAGGAAGGGGTGAAGCGCTCACGCCGGCGCCGACGACACGAACACAGTTTTTAGTGCGTTGCAGTTGTTTCTGCATTACAGTCTTTTTTCGCACTGCAGTTGCGCCGCTTGAGAGCTTCGGATTTCGCGTTGGAGCCAAGCGTGGTTTGGGGAGGTTCACGGAGGGTCGAAGCGCACATGTCGGCAACCTAGATTCGACAACATTTTTTTTTTGCAGATGGTTTGCGTTGCAGTTTTTGTTTTGCGTTGCCTTTGTCTGTGCTGTAGTGGCGCTGCCCGAGCTTGAGCTTTGGATTCCGCGTGGGAGCCAAGCGTGGTTTGGGGCGGGTCAGGAAGGGGTGGAACGCTCGTGTCGGCGCCGACGACACGAACACAATTTTTAGTGCGTTGGATGTGTTTCTGCATTGCAGCTTTTCTTGCACTGCAGTGGCGCTGCTAGAGAGCTTCGGATTTCGCGTGGGAGCCAAGCGTGGTTTGGGGAGGTTCGCGGAGGGTCGAAGCGCACATGTCGGCAACGACGACACGAAAACATGTTTTTTTCCATCGCAGATGTTTTGCATTGCAGTTTTTTTGAACTGCAGCTTTTTTAGCGCTGTAGTGGCGCTCTGCTCGAGCTTGAGCTTCGGATTTCGCGTGCGGGCCAAGCGTGGTTTGGGGACTTTCGTGGAGGGTCGAAGCGCACGTGTCGGCAACGACGACACGAATGCAGTTGTTTTCCATGGCAGATGCTTTGCATTGCAGCTTTTTTTGCATTTCAGTTTTTGTGCGCTGTAGTGGCGCTGCTGGAGCTTGAGCTTCGGATTTCGCGTGGGAGCCAAGCGTGGTTTGGGGAGGTTCACAGAGGGCCGAAGCGCACATGTCGGCAACGACGACACGACAGTATATGTTTTTGCATTGCAGTCTTTTTGCATTGGAGTGTCTTGTGCATTGCAGTTTTTTGGCGCTGTAGTGGCGCTGCCAGAGCTAGCTGGCTGGTCTTACTGGCTGGTCTGACTGGTCTGGCTGACTGGTCTGGCTGGTCTGACTGGCTGGCTGGTCTGGCTAGTCTACTTGGTCCAGGGCAAGTTGACCTGCTTAGTGCTACTTGGTCTGGTTGGCCTGGCTGGTTCGGGCTTCGCTGGTCTGAACGGCTACTTGGTCTGGTTGGCCTGGTTGGTCTACCTGGCTGGTCTGGTTGATCTACCTGGCTGGTCTGGCTGGCTGGTCTGGCTAGTCTGCCTGGCCCCGGTGGTCTTGGTGGCAGGTCTGGTTTTTCTAGTCTGTTTACTGTCGGCCCATCCGCAGCAGAACAGCGTTCGTTGCATTGCAGTTTTGGTGATCAGGTTGATCTGCTTAGTATCGTCTGGGCTGGTCTTCTTAGTCTGGTACATACTGCCCCGAGGCCGTGGACACGTTTCACGGGCCGGTCATATGTGCCGTCTCGTGCCCGTCCTCGATTTTCTCCTCGTCATCGTCGTCGTCGCAGCCGCGGCTAGGACCGACAGCACTGCTTCATGTCCGGCTGCGGCGGAAAGGGAGGTGATGGGGGGAGGGAGCATCAGCAGCCATGTCAGTTCTTGTACCCGAAATCATAGTAAAGCGCTGGGGCATCATATCTGTTCGACTCTAGCGGCTTAGAACTTCGG